CAAGTGCCATGAGGTGTCATAAAAGTGTCAAGACGGTGCCTGGAGGTGACCCTGTATGGCACCAGGGTTCCCATCAGCACAAGGTAACTATCCCTCTGTTGTGTTGTTGACATATTGAACAAGTTCTCTTAATCATTCATTTGGTATAAACTAATGCTTAAGATCATTGGTTCTGTCCTAGCTGTTCCTGTGAGTTAAGTGTTAATAATCATATAGGCTTGTGGGGTGGGGTTAGACGGCAGATAATGTCAACTATATTTTCCTTTTCTTTTTCCAGGTAAGTGTGAGTTAAAACAGCTCTTCGTGGGACATTAACACACCATATCTCAGGTACGGCCAAGTTATCATATTCATTGGTTATCGTTTTATTCATCAGCTAAGTCTGGAGTCCTTCTCGTTCCACAACAGTTTTAAAGGAACGTTACGCTTTTACCCTCAGGAACGTCCCCACACTCATGCCTCAGGAACGTCCTCACACTCATGCCTCAGGAACGTCCTCACACCTCGGGAGCATTAGACCACCTCCTCGTGTTTCAAGAACATAAAGTATTTTTCGGTGTAATTTTTAGGGATGCCACATTTTCCTAAACTTGCGTCAAACACCAATGTTTGTAAGTTTTATGAAGACAGAAAGTCATTCGTTTTACTGTATCAGGAGCGTTGTTGACCGGCGGTAAATTTATTTCTCTCAGTATTCCTCCCGGACCGAAAGTTTGGGGATATACTGTACGGTATAGCAATGGTTCTGTCCGTCCGTCCGTCCGTAACTCGCCACTGGGTCTTACGGGGCAGTACTGGACGGGTTGACAGTTCAGTATTTCAGGTAAAATAATGTAGACCTTATCACTTTGTGATATTCTTCACTTTCATGTTAAATTATTATTTGTTATTTACTACAAGATATACGGTATTTCATAAAGTAATTTGATATATAGTATACTAAAATTAACCACGTTACAGGTTGTAAACAAACTTATGGGTACGTTACCTTGTGTTGTTTTGGCGCCACACATGGACACGGCCAAGGTTGTTGGCTGAACACAACTCTTGCCCCAAATTGCTCCTCCTTATCGACATACTGTCGAGTGAAGGCGAGCCTCGAGGCACGGTGGGCGGCTGTCAACCTCTGGTCAACGCCCATTGGTGCAATATCCGGTGTAAATGACCAGTGGCCTGTTTCAAAGCTCCCACATCATGTTATATATTCTATCATGTTCGTAACTAAATCTAATGCATGGACAGGTCTTAGAAACAGAAGAAAAACAAAAAATTTATTTATTGATACGAGCGAGCTGATGTCCACCATTAATATATCAGTGCGTTGATGTATCACCGCGATGCATCACTGTTGATGCATCAGCGTTGATGCATCACGACGATGCATCACTGCCGATGCATCACCGCCGATGCATCACCGCTGATGCATCACTGCCGATGCATCAGCGCCGATGCATCACCGCCGATGCATCACCGCGATGCATCACCCATGCCGCTGATGCATCACCGCTGATGCATCACTGCCGATGCATCACCGTTGATGGTCATCGTTGATGTATCACCGTTGATGCATCACCGTTGATGCATCAACGCTGATGCACGGCAGCGATGCATCAGCTGGTGATGCATCACCGTTGATGCATCAGTGTTGATGTATCACGTTGTGCATCACCGTTGATGCATCACCGCCGATGCATTACCGTCGATGCATCACCGCGTTGATGCATCACCGTTGATGCATCACTGCTGATGCATCACCGTTGATGCAACAGTATTGATGTGCATCATCGATGATGTATCACCGTTGATGCATCACCGCCGATGCAACAGCGTTGACACAAAGTTGATGCATCATTGACGATGCATCGCCGACGCATAACACGTATCACGATGATGCATCACCGTTGATGCATCACCGCCGATGCATCACGCGATGCATCACCGCTGATGCAACAGTTATGATGACCAATGACGATCATCACCGTTGATGCATCACCGTTGATGTATCACCACATCACTGAAGATAACAGTGCCAACCATGATGCATCACTCCGATGCAACAGCATTGATGCATCACGATGACGATCACCGCGATGCAACACCTGATGCATCAGCGCCGACGCACTGCGCCATAACATCGATGATGCACACCGCATCAACAGCATTAACGTACTACGACGCATCACCGATGCATCACCGTTGATGCACACCGCCGAGCATCACTGCCGATGCATCAACTGCCGATGCAACAGTGCCGATGCATCAATAAGATGCATCACTGCCGATGCAACAGCACGATGCACATTGATGAGCACACAGTATCACCGCTGATGCAACAGCATTGAGCTGCGGCATCACCGCGATGCATCACGATGATGCATCACCGTTGATGCAACAGCATTGATGCATCATTGAAGCGTATCACCGCAATGACATCACTGCTGATGCAACACATTGACGCATCAGCTTATGCATCACTGCCAGCATCACCGTTAATGACATCAAGCTGATGCATCATCATGATGCACCACTGCCGATGCATCACCCACATCGATAATACCACTGCCGATGTATTTATTTTTTTACCCAAAACCAACCGTTTTTCTTCAAATATTAATCATGAAAAAGTTTCATCATCGGCAGAAGTAGAACTAAAGCAGAGACAAAAACAGCAGCAACCAACTTAGAATACAACAACTGAGCAAAATTCGTACTCTCCTGCACAAAATATTTCTATTCTTACGACTGAACCCCGAGCTGCAGAAAACAAACACAGCACAAAAAAGCTGGAGAGAAGTGAAAATTTAGTGAAAATATACTTAAAAATATAATAAATAAGCTTGGAGAAAGGAAATAGTTTATGTGTTTCATGTTCTAAGAAGCAATGGGGGAATACATTGAATTTAAAAGCATATTTCACCATAAATAAGGTACTTTTCAAGAAGCAAGGAGTAGGTAAATTTCACACATACTAACAATACTAAGGACAGATGTTAAATATTTTGTTTCAGTCATAACAATGTAATGCATTTGCAATTGTCTATGTATCACAATTAAGGTACCTGGGTTATTCAATATAATTTAGAGCTATCAAATTCAGAACATAATGAATAGGATTAAATATTTAATATACTGATGATTTTTTACAGTTTAAATGAACTTTTGCGAACACTGAAGTTGTCGATGTTACCCTTGTAACACATATATATTTAACTAACTTTTTTTTATATACGTATGACATCACATTCGAAGTTTGCTGGCCACTTTTCAAGAGGAGGCATGAAAATGAGGACATGAGGAAGACTTCTAGCAGTGACTATTTCAAATTTACAGCAACAGATCTACGAGTGTTAGGCAGGTCATGGTAATATTTTCGAGGGACTACGGTACCACTCAGATGATGCTCGATTAATATTATTATTTATAAGGACAGAGGTAACTAGGCCAACCTATTAATGCGTGTGCAAGGAAGTTGGGTATTAAGGGAGAGAGAGAGAGAGAGAGAGAGATACAAGATGGAGGAATCAATATGTTTTTTGTTGTGGCACTAACGAAGGGCGGAGAGGAAGGAAAGAGGGAGGGAAGGGGGGATGGAGAGAGAGAGGGAGGGGGAGAGAGAAGGATGGAGAAAGGAATGAGGAAAATTTCTAGTAGCCCATCAATATGTAAATATGACACAGTCAAATATTATTCTCGCTTAATTTCTGCACTTGTAAATTTTGCTGAGAAAATACGTCTGTTTTTTTATTTCCAAGGGGTCTGCTTTGTTTATCTTTCTGACGGCCCTGTGTCTCTTTCATCGTTTTATTTTCTGCTGTTCCTTTTTGTTTAGCCTTCGTCAGTTCGTGCATACTTCGGTTACATTTTTCCTCTGTTTGTTTTGTTGATTTTAGCTTGTGTTGTGTGTTTGTGTAGTGGTGTTGATGGTTGGTGAGGTGTTGTGTGTTTGTGCAGTGGTGTTGGATGGTTGGTGGAGGTGTTGTGTGTTTTGTGTAGTGGTGCTGGAGGCTGGTGGAGGTGTTGTGTGCTCTGTGTAGCGGGTGTTGAGGGCTGGTGATGTCAGTGCCCGCAGTGGTGCCGACGGTCGGTGATGCGCTGTGCGCTCTGGTGTGGCGGCAAGCCGACGGCCGGTGATGCGCTGTGCGCTCTGGTGCAGCGGTGCTGGAGTGGCCGGGTGATGCGTTGCGTGCTCTGTGCAGCGGCGCTGGAGGGCCGGTGATGCGTTGTGTACCTGTGCAGTGGTGTCGACGGTTGCGGAGTGCGTGCTGTGTGTTTGTGCAGTGGTGCTGGAGGGCTGGTGATAGCGCTGTGTGGGTTTGTGTGAAGCGAAAAGCTGGAGGGTTGGTGATGCGTTGTGTGCTCTGTGCAGCCGTGCTGATGGCTGGTGATGCGTTGTGTGTTTGTGCAGCTTGCAAGCAGAGGTTGGTGATGCGTTGTGTGCTCTGTGCAGTGGTGCTGGACGGTTGGTGATGCGTTGTGTGCTCTGTGCAGCCGTGCTGGATGGTCATGATGCGCTGTGTGCTCTTGTGCAGTGGTGCTGGATGGTTGGTGATGCGTTGTGCGCCTGCGCAGCGGTGCCGATGGGCCGGTGATGCGCTGGTGCGGCCTGTGCAGCTGTGTTGATGGGCTGGTGGAGGTGTGCGCCTGGTAGCACCCGTGCTGGATGCGGTTGGTGATAAAGTGGTGTTTGTGCAATTCGTGTTGACGGCTGGTGGATAAGTTGTGCGGTTTGTGCAGAAATGCAGTGCTGAGTGGCGGAGGTGTTGCGTTTGTGCAGCGGTGTTGAGGTCAAGGAGGTGCTGTGCGCTCAGCAGTGGTGCTGGCGGGCTGGTGGAGCGTGTTGTGTGCTCAGCAGCGGTGCCGACGGTTGGTGAGGTGTCAGTGCTCAGCAGCGGTGCCGATGGCTGGTGATGCGCTGCGTGCCTGTGCAGTGGTGCCGATGGCCGGTGGTGATGCGTTGCGTGCTCTGCGCAGTGAAAGCCGACGGTCGGCGTGATCTGCCAGGCCTGTGCAGCTGCGCCGGATGGTCAAGATGCGTTGGTGTGGCTCTGTGCAGTGGCAAGCCGAGTGGCTTATGATGCGCTGTGTGCTCAGTAGCGGTGTTGATGGGTCATGATGCGCTGTGTGCTCTGGTGCAGTGGCGTTTTCACGGTCGGGTGATGCGCTGTGCGCCCGTAGCGGCGTTGATGGGCTGGCGGAGCGTACAGTGGGGCTCAGGCAGGCGGCGTCGAGTGGCTGGGTGATGTTGCGGTTTGCAGGCAGCCACGGCTGGTGAGTGCTGCGTGCTCTGTGCAGCGGTGCTGGACGGTTGGTGATGCGTTGGTGCGTCTGTGCAGCGGTGCTCTGGATGGTTGGTGATGTGCGTTGGTGTGCTCTGTGTGAAGCGGTGCCGGAGTGGGCTGGTGAGGTGCTGTGTGTCAGGCAGCGGGTGCTGATGGGCTGCGGATGTGCTGGTGTGCTCAGGTGTAGCTGGGTGCTGGAGGGTTGGTGATGCGTTGGTGTGTTTGTGCAGGGTGCCGGATGGTTGGTGAGTGCTGGTGTGGCCCAGTAGCGGTGCTGGACGGTTGGTGATGCTGGGTTTGTGCAGGGCTGTAAGCTGGATGGTTGGTGGAGGTGTCAGTGTTTGTGCAGTGGTGCTGGATGGTTGCGTGATGCGTTGGTGTGTTTGTGCAGTGGTGCTGGAGTGGGTTGGTGGATAAGTAAGCTGTGTGGTTTGTGCATGGCAAGCTGATGGCCGGTGGAGGTGTTGTGTGTCGCAAAGAAGCGGTGTTGACGGTCGAAGTGATGCGTTGTGTGTCGCAGTGAAAGTGGTGCTGAATGGGCTGGTGATGCGTTGTGTGTCGGTGCAGTGGTGCCGAGGGCCGGTGGAGTGTGCTGTGTGTCGTGCAGCGGGTGCTGGACGGCTGGTGATGCGTTGTGTGCCTGTGCAGCGGCGCTGGAGGGTTGGGTGGATGTGCTGTGCGTGCCTGTGCAGTGGCGTTGAGGGTTGCGTGATGTGCTGGGGCTCAGCAGTGGCATTGGAGTGGCTGCGGAGGTGCTGCGTTTGCGTAGGCGGTGGCTTGATGGTTGGTGATGCGTTGCGTGTTTGCAGTGGTGCTGATGGGCTGGTGGAGGTGTTGTGCGTGTTTCCAGTGAAAGTGGTGTCGAGTGGGTTGGTGATGCGTCAGGTTTGTGCAGGCATTGAGGCTGGTGATGTTGTGCTCAGGCAGCGTGCCGATGCGGCTGGTGATGCGTTGTGTGCTCTGTGCAGTGGCACGAGGTCAGGATGTGTGGCCCAGGCAGTGGTGCTCTGATGGCTGGGTGATGCGCCAGTGCTCCGTGCATCGGTGTCGACGGCTGGGTGATGCGCTGCGCGTCCAGCAGTGGTGTCAGATGGGCCGGTGATGCGCCAGGCTCCGGTGCAGTGTAAGTCGATGGGCCGCGGATGCGCTCGCGGCTCCAGCAGCGGTGCCCGGAGCGGGGCCGCGATGCGCTGCGTGCGCTCCGTGCAGTGCGCCGACGGTCAAGTGATGCGCTGCGCTCCAGCAGCTGCGCCGGGACGGCCGGTGATGCGCTGTGCCTGTGCAGTGGCAAGCGATATCAAGATGCGCTGCGTGCTCCGTGCAGTGGGCGCCGAGGGGCCGGCGTGATGCGCTGTGCGGGCCTGCGCAGCGGCGTCGGGACGGCTGCGGATAGTGTCGCGCACCTGTGCAGCGTGCGCTGACGGTCGGTGATGCGTTGTGCGTCTGCGTAGCGGCGTCGAGCGGTCAAGTGATGCGCTGCGGCCCGCAGCGGTGCCGGGAGGGTGATGCGCTGCGTTCAGCAGTCAAAAGCCGATGGGGTCGGTGATGCGTTGCGTGCGTCTGCTGTGCAGCGGCGCCGACGGTTGGTGAGTGTGTTGTGTGTTTGTGTAGCGGTGCTGGAGGTTGGTGGATGTGCTGTGTGCCTGTGTACCTGTGCTGGAGGGTTGGTGATAAAAGGTGTTTGTGTAGTGGTGTGCTGGAGGGCCGGTGGAGGTGTGTTGTGCGTTTGTGTGGCGGTGTTGATGGGTTGGTGGAGGGCGTCAGGGTAGTGGTAAGCTGGATGGTTGGTGATGTTGTGTGTTTGTGTAGTGGTGCTGAGGGTTGGTGGAGGGGCGGGTTGCAGTGGTGTTTACGGTTGGTGGAGGTGTTGTGTGTTTGTGTAGCGGTGTTGAGTGGTTGGTGGAGTGTTGTGTGTGTTTGTGTAGTGGTGTTGATGGTTGCGGAGGTAAGCAGAAAAGGTTTGTAGGGTGCCGGAGTGGTTGGTGGAGGTGTTGTGTGTTTGTGTAGTGTTGATGTTGGTGAGCGTGTGTTTGTGTAGTGGTGCTGGAGGGTTGAAGAGGTGTTGTGTGGTTTGTGGCTGGAGGTTGGTGGAGGTGTTGTGTGTTTGTGTAGTGGTGTTGGAGGGTTGGCGGAGGTTGTGTAGTTTGTGCAATCCGTGCTGGAGGGGCTGGTGGGAGCGCGGTTTGTGCAGGGTGCTGGAGGGTTGGTGATGTGTTGTGCGTTTGGTGCAGCGTGCCGGAGGGTTGGTGGAGTGCGGGCAACAGCAACCGTGCTGGAGGGGTTGGTGATAAGTGCCAGGTGCTCAGTAGCTGTGCCGAGGGCTGGTGGAGTGCGCTGTGTGCTCTGCGGCAGCGCTGGATGGTTGGGTGATGCGTTGTGTGTTTGTGCAGCAAGTGCTGGATGGCTGGTGATAAAGTGCCAGGTGTCGGTAGCGGTGCTGGAGCGGTTGGTGGAGGTGTTGTGCGTTTCAGTAGCGGTGCTGGATGGTTGGTGATGGTGCCGTGTGCTCAGTAGCGGCAAGCGATGGTCATGGATGCTGCGTTTGTGTAGTGGTGTTGACGCAGTCGGCAGATGCTGCGTGGCCTGCGTAGTGGTGCCGATGGCCGGTGATGCGTTGTGCTCAGCATTGCAAAACAGAGGCCAGTGATGTGTTGTGTGCTCAGGTAGCCGTGCCGCGAGTGGCTGGTGATGCGCTGGTGTGCTCAGTAGCGTGCCGAGGTCAAGTGATGCGCTGTGCGTCTGGTGCAGTGGCGCTGGGATGGCAGATGCGCGTGCCTGTGCAGTGGTGCTTGGCGGCTGGTGATGCGTGTCAGTACCGCAGCGGTGCTGGGATTTGCCGGGTGATGCGTGCTCCAGCAGCGGTGCTGGAGGCTGGTGATGCCGTGTGCTCTGGGGCACCCGTGCTGGAGGGTCGGCGGAGGGTGTCGCGCGGCTCGTGCAGTGGTGCTGATGGGCTGGTGTGATGCGTTGTGCGTTTGGTGAAAGGCGTCGAGGCTGGTGATGTGCTGTGTGCTCTGTGTGAGTGGTGCTGATGGCCGGTGAGTGCGTTGTGCCTGTGTAGCGGGTGCTGGAGGGCTGGGTGGATGCGTTGTGCGTTTCAGAAATGCCGGAGGGGCTGGTGATGCGTTGTGTGCTCAGGCAATCCGTGCTGGAGGCCGGGTGGAGTGTGTTGTGCCCAGCAGTCATGCCGAGGTTGCGATGTGTTGCGTTTGCGTAGCTGTGTCGGAGTGGCACAGGAGGTGTTGTGTGCTCAGCAGTGGTGCTGATAATAAGTGATGCGCTGCCCAGCAGCGTGCGCCGAGGCTGGTGATGCGTCAGGCCCAGAAAAGTGCCGGGAGGGTTGCGGATGCGCTGTGCCTGCGCAGTGGTGCTGGATGGCTGGTGATGCGTTGTGCGTACCTGTGCAGTGGTGCCGATGGCTGGTGGAGGTGCCGTGTGTCGCAGAGCGGTGCTGAGGGGTTGGTGATGCGCTGTGTGCTTCCAGGCAGCCGTGTCGATGGGCTGGTGAGGTGTTGCTCAGCAACGTGCTGGAGGGGCTGCGAGTGTGCTGTGCGTTTCTGCGCAGCCGTGCCGGGATGGCTGGTGATGCGTTGCGTCTGTGCAGAAGCGGTGCCTGAGGGCCGGGTGATGCGGTTGTGCGGGCTCAGCAGTCGCGCCTGGATGGTCGGTGATGCGTTGCGTGGCCTGTGCAGTGCGGCGATGGTGGGGTCAGGCGGAGTGTTGTGCGGCTCGTGCAGCGGCGCTGGAGGGGCTGGGTGATGCGTCAGTGGCCTGTGCAGAAAGGGTGCTGGATGGCTGGTGATGCGTTGTGTGTGCCTGTGCAGTGGCAAGCCGGAGGCTGGTGATGCGTCGTGCGCTCAGGCAACCCGTGCTGGATATTGGTGATGCGTTGCGTGTAGTGGTGTCGGGAGTGGCTGGTGATGCGTTGTGTGCTCTGTGCAGTGCGTTGGAGTGGTCAAGAGGTGTTGTGCAGGCTCAGGCACCCGTGCTGGAGGGCTGGTGATGCGTTGTGTTTGTGCAGCGGTGCTGGAGTGGCTGGCGTGATGCTGTGCGTTTGTGCATTGCGCTGATGGTTGGTGGAGGTGTTGTGTGTTTAAGAAGCGGTGCTGGATGGGCAGGATGCGCTAAAACGGCTGACGGTGCCGATGCCGCGTGTCTGTGCAGCTCCTGCCCAGTGGCTGCGAGCGTCAGAGGCTCGTGCAGAGGCGATGGACCTGGTGACGCGCTTAGGCCAGGTGAAAAGCCGGACCCCATGATGCGTCAGCGAAGCTGCGAGGCTGGTGGATGCGTTTGCCTCAGCAGTGGTGCTGGAGGCCAGGTAAAGCCGTGGCCGCAGAGCTAAAGCGATGCGCTGCGACTGTCAGCGAAAGCCGAGGCTGGTGACGCCGTGCCCAGCAGCAAGCCGGATGTCAGGAGGAACAGCAGCGTGCTCACACCCTGCGATGGCTGGTGATGCTGTGTGCTCAGCAGCGGTGCTGACGGCTGGTGATGCTGTGCGTCGGTGCAGCGGCGTTGATGGCTGGTGATGCGCTTGTGTCCCAGCAGCGGCAACGAGTGCCGCTGGAGCGCGCCATGCGCCTGTGCAGCGGCGTCGATGGCCGGTGAAGCGTGCTGCCCGCTCAGCAGCCGTGCGCCGGAATGGGCTGCGTGATGCGCCGTGCCCACCAGTGGTGCCATGGACGGTCAAGCCTGGAGCGCCTTGCAGCGAAGCCACAGTCAGCGGAAAGTGCCATGCTCCAGAACAGATGGGTCGGTGATGCCTGCGTGCTCCAGCAGGCATGATACTGCGATGCGCCGTACCAGCAGCTGCGCTGATGGCCGGCTGATGCGTCGCGCACCAGCAGCGGTGCCGATGGCTGGTGATATGTTGTGCGCTTGTGCAGCGGCTATCGAGGGCTGGTGATGCGTTGTGCGTTTGTGCAGTGGTGCTGAGGGCTGGTGATGCGTTGTGTGTCGCAGTAGCGGCGCTGGAGGGTTGGTGAGCGGCAATGCCTGGTGCAGTGGTGCTGGAGTGGGTTGGGTGAGGCCAGTGTTTGTGTAGGGCGGCGTCGGACGGCTGGTGATGTGTTGCGTGTCTGTGCAGTGGTGCTGATGGCTGGCGGAGGCGTTTGTGTGCTCAGGCACCTGTGTTGCGGCTGGTGATGCGTTGCGTGTCTCAGGTAGCGGCAAGCGATGGCTGGTGAGCCTGGCTCAGGCCAGCGGTGCTGGATGGGCTGGTGGAGTGCGTTGCGGTGGCTCAGGGTAGCGTGCTGGAGTGGCTGGCGTGGAGTGGCTGTGTGCCCAGCAGCAGCAAGCTGACGGCTGGGTGATGCGTTGGTGCGTTTGTGCAGCGGTGCTGGAGGGGCTGGTGAGTGCGTGTGTGCCTGGTAGCGGGTCTGGATGGTTGGTGATGCGCTGGTGCGTTTGTGAAATGTGCTGGATGGTTGGTGATGCGTTGTGTGTTTGCGCAGTGCAGTGCTGGAGTGGCTGGTGGAGGTGTTGTGTGTTTGTGTAGTGGTCTGGAGTGGCTGGTGGAGGCGTTGTGCGTCTGTGCAGTGGTGTTGGAGGGTTGGTGATGCGTTGTGTGGCTCAGGCAGCGGTGCTGAGTGGCCGGAGATGCGTTGTGTGTTTGTGCAGTGGTGCTGAGTCGGTTGGTGATGCGTTGCGTTTCAGTAATGTGGCCGATGGGCCTGGTGGATGCGCTGCGCAGGCAGGTGCTGATGGCCGTGACGTTGCGTGCTCAGCAGCGGCGCTGGATGGCTGGGTGATGCGCTGCGCGTCTGTGCAGCTGCGCCGATATTGGCGTGATGCGCGCGCGTCTGTGCAGCGGCATCGACGGCCTGCGATGCGCGTGCTCTGCAGCGGCGCTGGACGGCTGGTGATGCGTGTGGCCTGTGCAGCGGTGCCGGATGGCCTGCGGAATGCGCTGCGGCCTGTGCAGCGGCAAGCCGGAGGTCGGTAGCGCTCGCCCAGCAGCGGTGCCGATGGCCGGGGAGGCGCAGTGCTCTGTGCAGCGGCGCTGCGGCTGGTGATGCGCTTGCATGCCCAGCAGCAGTGCTGACGGTCGCGATGCGGTTGTGCGTCTGTGCAGCGGCACGATGGCTGGTGATGCGCTGTGTGCTCCAGTAGCGGTGCCGATGGGTTGGTGATGCGCTGGTGCGCTCAGTGCAGCGGCGGCCTGAGGTCGGCGGATAAAAGCCTGCGTTCAGGAAGCGCGATGGCCGGTGATGCGTCTGCCGGCGCAGCAGCGCCGCGATGGCCGGTGATGCGCCAGGCCTGTGCAGCGGCGCCGATGGCCGGCTGATGCGTCGTGCGCCTGCGCAGCGGTGCATCATGGCCGGTGATGCGCCAGTACCTGGTGCACGGCGCTGATGGGCCGGGTGATGCGTTGCGTGCGCCTGTGCAGCGGCAGCTGGGACAGGCCGGTGATGCGTCGCGGCTGCTGCAGCGGCGCCGATGGGCCGGGTGATGCGCCTGTGTGCTCGCAGTAATGCGGATGGCCGGTGGGATGCGCTGCGTCTGTGCAGCCGTGCCGGACGGCTGGTGATGCGCTTGCGTGCCTGCAGCGGCATCGATGGCCGGTGATGCGCTGTGCGCCTGTGCAGCGGTGTCGAGCGGCTGGTGATGCGCGCTTGTGCGTCTGCGCAGTGCGTTGATGGCCGGTGATGCGCTGGTGCCTGCGCAGCGGCGTCGATGGCTGGTGATGCGTTGGTGCGCCTGTGTAGCGGCGCCGATGGCCGGTGATGCGTTGCGTCTGCGCAGTGGGCACCGGATGGCCGGTGATGCGCCGGTGCGTCTGCAGCGGCGCCGATATCGCGGAGCGCTGCGTGCGCCCAGCAGCGGTGCCGATCGGTGATGCGCTGCGTGCTCCGTGCAGTGCGCGCTGGACGGCTGGCGTGATGCGCTGTGCGCTCCAGTGCAGCCACGCTGACGGTCGGTGATGCGCCGTGCGGCCTGCTGCAGCGGCGCTGATGGCTGGTGATGCGTTGCGCGCTCCAGTAGCGGTGCCGATGCGGCTGCGATGCGTTGTGTGCCCAGCATGGTGCCGAGCGGGGCTGGTGATGCGCTGCGCCTCCGCAGCGGCGCTGGATGGCCGGTGATGCGCTGCGCGTCTGGTGCAGTGGCGCCGATGGCCGGTGATGCGTTGTGCGTCAGCGCAGTGGCGCCGAGCGGCCGGGTGATGCGTTGCGTGCTCCAGCAGCGGTGCGGAGCGGTCGGTGATAAAGCGTGCCTGAGCAGCTGCCGGGATGGCCGGTGATGCGCTGCGCGTCTGTGCAGCGGCGTCGAGTGGTCGGAGATGCGCTGTGTGCCCGGTGCACGGCTTGACGGCCGTGATGCGCTTGCGCTCCTGCAGCGGCGCTGACGGTTGGTGATGCGTTGTGTGCCTGTGCAGCGGCGGCGCGACGGTGGTGATGCGCTGCGTGCCTGTGCAGCTGCGCCGGGATGGTCGGTGATGCGTTGTGTGCTCTGTGCAGTGGCAAGCCGGGACGGTCGGGTGATGCGCTGGTGCGTCTGCGCAGCGGCGCTGAGGCTGGTGATGCGCTGGGTGCGTCGCAGCGGCGTCGAGCGGCCGGTGATGCGTTGTGCGTCTGTGCAGCGGCGCGGAGGCCGGTGATGCGTGGTGTCCTGCGCAGCCGTGTTGACGGCTGGCGTGAGTGCGTTGCGTGCGCAGCGAGCCGAGGCAGTGATGCGCGGCGTCTGGTGCAGTGGCGCTGAAGGGCCGGTGATGCGCTGTGCGTCAGGCAGCGGCGTTGAGTGGCTGGTGATGCGGTTGCGTGCCTGGTGCAGTGGAGCTGGATGGTTGCGTGATGCTGCGTCAGTAGCTGCGCGATGGGGCTGGCGGAAGCTGTGTGTTTGTGCAGCGGTGCGATGGCTGGTGATGCGCTGGTGTGTTTGTGCAGTGGTGCTGGATGGTTGGTGATGCGTTGCGGTGTTTGCAGTAGCGCGTCGATGTGTTGGTGAGCGTGCTGTGTGCGTGCGTACTGTGCTGGATGGTTGGTGAGATGCGTTGTGTGTTTGTGTAGCTGTGTTGGAGGGTTGGTGGAGCGTGTTGTGTGTTTCAGGCACCTGTGTTGAGGGGCTGGTGGAGTGCGTTGTGTGTCTGTGTAGCGGTGCTGGAGGGCTGCGATGCGTTGTGCGTGTCGTGCAGTGGCGCTGGAGGGCCGGGTGATGCGCTGGTGCTCGTGCAGCGGTGCTGAGTTGCCGGTGATGCGTTGCGTTCAGTAAATGCAGTGCTGATGGGCTGGTGATGCGCGTGCGGTCTGTGCAGGCGCCGATGGCTGGTGATGCGCCAGCATCTGCGCAGCGGCGCCGGATGGGCCGGTGATGCGCTCGCGTGCCTGTGCAGTCGAGGCCGAGGTTGGTGATGCGTTGCGTGCTCCGTGCAGCGGTGCCGATGGTTGGTGATGCGCTGTGCGTCTGTGCAGCGGTGCCCGACGGTCGGCGGATGCGTTGCGTGCCTGCAGCGGTGCCGAGGGCTGGTGATGCGCTGCGTGCAGCCGCAGCCTGGATGGCCGGTGATGCGCGTGTGCTCGCAGCAGGCGATGGGCGGGTGATGCGTGCCAGGTGCCTGCGCAGCCGTGCCGGGATGGGTCGGTGAGCGCGTGTGCGTGCTCAGGGCAGCGGCGTTGGAGGGCCGGATGATGCGCTGCGCGTGCTCCAGCAGCGGTGCCGGAGCGGCTGGTGATGCTCGTGCGGCTTGTGGAAGCGGCGCTGGGATTGGTGATGCGCTGTGCGCGGTGTGCAGCGGCGCGAGGGCGCGTGATGCTGCGCCTGTGCAGGCGTGCTGGAGGGCTGGTGTGCTGTGTTCAGGTACCGGTGCTGGAGTGGCTGGTGGAGGTGTGCTGTGTGTTTCAGTAGCGGTGTTGAGGGCTGGTGGAGTGTGTTGTGTAGTGGTGTTGAGGTTCGGTGGGGTGTTGTGTGTTTGTGTAGCGGTGCTGGAGTGGTTGGTGGAGGTGTTGTGTGTTTGTGTAGCGGTGTTGAGGTGGTGGAGGTGTTGTGTGTTTGTGTAAGTGGTGCTGGAGGGTTGGTGGAGGGGGTGTTGTGTGTTTGTGTAGTGGTGTTGGAGGGTTGGTGGAGGTGTTGTGTTTGTGTGTGTGCTTGGAGTGGCTGGTGGAGGTGTTGTGGGTTTGTGTAGCTGCGTTGGGATGGCTGGTGGAGGTGTTGTGTGGCTCAGGCACGGTGTGGAGGGGTTGGTGGAGGTGTTGTGTGGCTCAGTAGGTGCAAGCTGAGTGGGCTGGTGATATGGTGCGTGTCTGCGCACGCGGCCTGGATGGCCGGTGATAGTGCCGTGCGGCCTGGTGCAGCGTGCTGATGGTCAGGTATGCGCTGTGCGTTTGTGCAGCGGGTCGATGGCTGGTGATGCGGCCGTGCTCAGCAGCGGTGCCGATGGGCCGGTGATGCGTGCGTGCCTGCGCAGCGGCGCCGGGATGGCTGGGTGATGCGCTGCGTGCCTGGTGCAGTGGCGCTGATGGCCTGGTGATGCGCTGTGCGTCTGTGCAGTGGCTGCCGATGGGCTGGTGATGCGTTGCGTGCTCCAGCATAGTGCCGGGAGTGCTGGCGGATGCGTGTGTCCAGCAATCCGTGCTGACGGTGATGCGTTGTGTGCCTGCGCAGTCGCGCTGACGGCCGGTGATGCGTCTGTGCTCAGTAGCGGCGCTGGATGGGCCGGTGATGCGTTGCGTGCCCAGGAATGCGCCTGACGGTCATGATGCGCAGTGCTCCAGCAGCGGTGCTGATGGCTGTGGATGCGCTCAGGCCTGTGCAGTAGGTGCTGATGGGCTGGGTGATGCAGCTGTGTGCGCCTGTGCAGCGGTGCTGGACGGCTGGTGAGTGCGTTGCGTGCCTGTGCAGTGGTGCTGGGTGGTGGATGCGTTGTGTGCTCTGTGCAACCTGTGCTGGAGGCTGGTGGAGTGCGTTGTGTGCTCGGTAGTGGTGCTGGAGGCTGGTGAAGGTGTTGCGTGTTTGTGCAGTGGTGCTGGAGTGGCTGGTGATGTGCTGTGCGTTTGTGCAGCAGTGCTGGGAGGGTTGGTGGAGGTGTTGTGTGTTTGCAGTGGTGTTGATGGTTGCGATGCGTTGTGCGCTCAGTGCAGCGTGTGCTGACGGTTGGTGATGCGTTGTGTGCTCAGCAGCGGCGTTGATGGCTGGTGATGCGTTGTGCTCAGTAGCTGTGCTGACGGGTCGGTGATGCGTTGTGCTCGGTGCAGTGGCGCTGGAGGGTTGGTGATGGTGCTGCGCCTGCAGCGGCGTTGATGGTTGGTGATGCGTTGTGTGTTTGTGTAGTGGTGCTGGATGGTTGGTGAGGTGTTGTGCGTTTGTGTAGTGGTGCTGGAGGGCTGGTGATGTTGTGTTTGTGTAGTGGTGCTGGAGGGTTGGTGGATGCGTTGTGTTTGTGCAGTGGTGTCGATGGTTGGTGATGTTGTGTGTTTGTGCAGTGGTGTTGAGGCTGGTGATGCGTTGTGTGCTTCCAGTAGCGGTGCTGGATGGCTGGTGGAGGTGTTGGTGGTTGGTGCAGGTGTTGGAGGGTTGGTGGAGGTGTTGTGTGTTTGTGTAGTGGTGTTGGAGGGTTGGTGAAGGTGTTGTGTGTTTGTGTATGGTGTTGGATGGTTGGTGGAGGTGTTGTGTGTTTGTGTAGTGGTGTTGATGGTTGGTGGAGGTGTTGTGTGTTTGTGTAGCTGTTTGATGGTTGGTGGAGGTGTTGTGTGTGTGTGTGTAACTGTGTTGGATGGTTGGTGGAGGTGTGTGTGTTTGTGTAGCTGTGTTGGAGGGGTTGGTGGAGGTGTTGTGTGTTTGTGTAACTGTGTTGGATGGTTGGTGGAGGTGTTGTGTGTTTGTGTAGCGGGTGTTGGAGGTTGGTGGAGGTGTTGTGTGTTTGTGTAGTGGTGTTGGAGGGGTTGGTGGAGGTGTTGTGTGTTTGTGTAGTGGTGTTGGATGGTTGGGAGGTGTTGTGTGTTTGTGTAGCGGTGTTGGAGGGTTGGTGGAGGTGTTGTGTGTTTGTGTAGTGGTGTTGGAGGGTTGGTGGAGGTAGTTTGTGTTTGTGTAGTGGTGTTGGATGGTTGGTGGAGGTGTTGTGTGTTTGTAGCTGTGCTGGAGTGGTTGGTGGAGGTGTTGTGTGTTTGGTGTAGTGGTGTTGGAGGGTTGGTGGAGGTGTTGTGTGTTTGTGTAGCGTGTGTTTGATGGTTGGTGGAGGTGTGTTGTGCGTTTGTGTAGTGGTAAGGATGGTTGGTGGAGGTGTTGTGTGTTTGTGTAGCTGTGGGAAGGAGGGTTGGTGGAGGTGTTGTGTTTGGGTAGTTGTGTTGAGGGTTGGTGATAGTGTTGTGTGTTTGTGCAGCTGTGTTGATGTTGGTGGATGGTGTTGTGTGTTTGGTGTAGTGGTGTTGGAGGGTTAGGGAGGTGTTGTGTGTTTGTGCAGTGGTGTTGGAGGGTTGGTGGAGGTGTTGTGTTTTGTAGCGGTGTTGGAGGGTTGGTGGAGGTGTTGTGTGTTTGTGTAGGGTGTTGATGTTGAGGAGGTGTTGTGTGTTTGTGTAGTGGTGTTGGAGGGTTGGTGGAGGTGTTGTGTATTTGTGTACCTGTGTTGATGGGTTGTGGAGGTGTTGTGTGTTTGTGTGTGTTGGATGGTTGGTGGAGGTGTTGTAGTGGTGTTGAGGTTGGTGGAGTGTTGTGTTTGTACCTGTGTTGAGGTTGGTGGAGGTGTTGTGTGTTTGTGTAGCGGTGTTGGAGGGTTGGTGGAGTGGTTGTGTGTTTGTGTACCTGTGTTGGAGGGTTGGTGGAGGTGTTGTGTTTGTGTACCTGTGTTGGAGGGTTGGTGGAGGTGTTGTGTGTTTGTGGTACCTGTGTTTGATGGTTGGTGGAGGTGTTGTGTGTTTGTGTACCTGTGTTGGAGGGTTGGTGGAGGTGTTTGGTTTGTGTACCTGTGTTGGAGGGTTGGTGGAGGTTGTGTGTTTGTGTACCTGTGTTTGATGGTTGGTGGAAGTGTTGTGTGTTTGTGTACCTGTGTTGGAGGGTTGGTGGAGGTGTTGTGTGTTTGTGTACCTGTGTTGAGGTTGGTGGAGGTGTTGTGTGTTTGTGTAGCTGTGTTTGAAGTATTGTTGGTGCAGCAACAGAAATTCTACTCAGTATCTGTCAACTCGTGTGTATGAGCTAGGTAGGTATGCTGTCTCCCCCACCTCTTCAGTAACATACACTGCACACGCCGTGGAGTGATAAGAATAATGATTAAAGGAAAGATGAGGGAGGGAAGAGGTATGAGAGAAAGGAGAAGGGAAGGGAGAATTAAAAAAAAATAAAAATTAAAGTTTCAGTTGATGTGACGTCATCACCAACTCCTCTGACGTCATCACCGATTGATGTGACGTCATCAAAACGGTTTTGACGTCATCACCAATAGAACCAACTGCTGTGACGTCATTACCAGGTTAAAGTAGGTCAGGTTAAGTCAGGTAAGGTTAGGTTAGGTTAGAATAGGTCAGGTCAGGTCAGGTCAAGTTAGGTTAAAGTATATCAGGTTAGGTTAGAGTAGGTCAGATCAGGTTAGGCTAGAGTAGGTCAGATCAGGTCAGATCAAGTTAGGTTAGACTAAATCAGATCAGGTCAGGTTAGGTTAGAGTAGATCAGGTCAGGTTAGGTTAGAGTAGGTCAGGTCAGGTCAGGTCAGGTTTGGTTAGACTAAATCAGATCAGGTCAGGTTAGGTTAGAGTAGGTCAGGTCAGGTCAGGTCAGGTTGGGATTAATTTGACCTTCAATTGGCACAAACACGAAGAGAGATTGTCACCCGCGAAAAATAATCAGACTTTAATCAAGATTCTTCAAGCAGCAGAACCAGGGGAGGTGATGAGAGCAGAGGGAATCACGGTGAGGAGTGGCGGAGGGGGGAGAGAGGAGAGGAGGAGAGGATAATGTGAGGAATAAGGAGAAGGAAGATAAACATAATGAAAGCCCCTTGAAATCGTGGCGTGAATTTGTTTAAGGTGTAGAAGCTGTCACCAACACAACAACCACACCCTAAGTTAACGAGTTGCATGACCCAGTGTTTAAGGTAGAAGCTGTCACCAACACAACAACCACACCCTAAGTTAACGAGTTGCATGACTCAGTGTTTAAGGTGGAAGCTGTCACCAACAAAACAACCACACCCTAAGTAAGGAGTTGCATGACTCAGTGTTTAAGGTGTAGAAGCTGTCACCAACACAACAACCACACCCCAAGTAAGCGAGTTGCATGACTCAGTGTTTAAGGTGTAGAAGCTGTCACCAACACAACAACCACATCCTAAGTTAACGAGTTGCATGACCCAGTGTTTAAGGTGTAGAAGCTGTCACCAACACAACAACACATCCTAAGTTAACGAGTTGCATGACCCAGTGTCTAGAATAGTCAGAGAATACCGACAACTCGCCAACTGTACTGGCTAACCATTAACCCCAGAACACAATCCGTAAATCGATTAACATCCAGTTTCCCAATTACTGCTGGGTAGACAGAGGTTTGCGAGGCGAGGATGCTGACCATTACACCACAGGTCAAAACCATAACAACATAAGAATTGAGGAAACTGTAGCCAGCCTATTGACCCATACTGAGCAGTCCCATTTACACCCAACCCCTATCGCTCATATATCCATCCAACCTATGTTTGAAGCTATCCAGCGTATTAGAGTTAATGATGATGTTTGGTAACTTGTTCCTCTCGTCCACTACTCTTTTTCCAAACCAATGTTTACCTATTTTGCGCCTAAATCTAAATTTGTCCATTTTAAAACTATTGTTACGAGTTCGTTCCTGGTTGGATAACTTGAGTACCTTTGTTATATCACCTTTGTTTTGCCTTGACTTCCATTTGTACACCTCGATCATTCGCCCCTCACTCTACGTCTCTCGAGGGAGTGCAAATTAAGATGCTTTAACCTGTCTCTGTACTCAAGGATCCTAATGCCTGGGATTAGTCTTGTCATTCTCCTCTGTATGCTGTCTAGGGATTAGATATCTATTCTGTAGTACGGTGACCAGAACTGAACCAAGTAATTCAATTAGTTGGGGGTTGAGGGAGGAGGGGGGTCCATACAAAACAAGTCAAGCGCATGTAAACACACTCACTACAGATGTGTTCTCAAACATAACACAGAAACAAATTAAACATTCACACACACTACAGGTCCCTCCTCGCTATAAAGTCTCTGGGACACATTAGCTGTGACTTATGTGAGTTGTGCCTCGAAAAAAAAAAAAAAAAAAAAAGAGAGAGAGAGAGCTTGGTGCGTCCATACACCTGGTTCATCGATTATGTCTTTATGGTGGTTGTTTGTCGAAGAGATTTTCTCTTTCTTTCACCCCACCACCTCCTCCACCCCTCCTCCTCCAACCTCCCTCCTCCACCCTCCCTCCTCCACCACTCCCTCCCCACCACTCCCTCCTCCACCCCTCCCTCCTCCACCACTCCCCCTCCACCACTCCCTCCTCCACCGCTCCCTCCTCCACACCTTCCTCCACCTCCCCCTCCTCCACCTCCCTCCTCCACCCTCCTCCCTCCACCCCTCCCCTCCACCAC